AATGCTTATCAGGACGGATTATGAGGGTTGGAAATGCAAAGGTGGAAGTTTCGTAACAAGGAAGGGAGTGATTGATTCTCCAGGATAGGAATGGAGGCCTCTGGGACCATCAATGGAGAAGAGCCGAGAGCAGGACCCTACCCAGAGAAACAGAGATGCCTGAGATGGAGGCAGAGATGATGACATGGAGTGATGAAGCATCTGAGGACTTTGGACCCAGAGAGGGAAAGGGACTGTGGGCTGAAAACTGGGGGGAGGAGGGGGAAGTGTAGGGAGCGGGTTTCTGGGATATACTCTTTGGGTGGTTGAGGATGCATGGAGGGGATTGGAACCATGGCAGTGAGATGATATACGATGGAATGAATGTAAAACTAAAGTTCTCCCATGTAAACTATCATATAATTCACAATAAAACATTTTTAAAAAAAAAAGATGGAAGGAATACACAGAGTCACTGTTCCAAAAGTAAATGGTTCACGTTCAACCATTTCAAGAGGTAGCATATGATCAAGAGCCAATGATACTGAAGAAAGAAATTCAAGGTGCATTGGAGGAATTAGTAAAGAATAAGGCACCAGGAATTGATGGAATAAAAACTGAAATCTTTCAAGAAAGTGAGGTGGCACAGGAGACACTCACTCATCTCTGCCAAAAGATTTAGAAGATAATTATCTGGCTGACTGATTGGAAGAGATCCATATTTGTGCCCATTCCAAAGAGAGGTAATCCAAAGGAATGCAGAAATCATTGGACAATCTCTTTGATATCTCATGTGAGCAAAGTTTTAGTCAAGGTAATACATATATGGCTGCAAGCATACATTGAAAGAGAAATTTCAGAGGTTCAAGCCAGATTCAGAAGAGGCCGTGAAATGAGGGATATCATTGCTGATGTCCAATGGATCTTGGATGAAGCAGAGAATATCAGAAAGATGTTTACCTGTGCTTTATTGACTTGGCAAAGGCTTTTGATTGTGTAATCATGACAAGCTATGGGCAATATTGTGAAGTATGAGTATTCTGGAACACTTAATTGTGCTCTTGAGAAATCTGTACCTAGACCAAAAGGCAGTTATTCGAAGAGAACATGGGAACACTGGATGGTTAAAAATTAAGAAAGGTGTATGACAGAGTTGTGTTCTTTCACCACACTTATTCAACCTGTATGCTGAGCAAATAATATGAGAAGCTGGGTTCTATGAAGAAATACGTGGCATCAAGATTGGAGGAAGACTCATTAAAAACCTGCAACATGCAGATGATACAACCTTTCTTGCTGAAAGTGAAGAGGACTTAAGATATTTACTGATGAAGATCAAAGATCACAGCCTTCAGTATGGATTACATCTTAATGTAAAGAAAACAAAAATACTCACCACTGGACCAATAAACAACATTCTTATCAATGGAGAAAATATTGAAGTTGTCAAGGATTTCATTCTCCTTGGATGAACTAACAACACTCATGGAAGCAGCTGTCAAGAGATCAAATGTCGTATTTCATTAGGCAAATCTGCTACACAAGACCTTTTTTAAAGTGTTGAAGAGCAAACATGTCAGCTTTAGGACTAAGGTGTGCCTGACCTAAGCCATGGTATTTTCAATAACCTCATATGCATGTGAAAGCTGTACAGTGAATAAAGAAGACCATAGAAGAATTGATGCATTTGAGTTATGGTGTTGGAGGAGAATATTGAAAGTGCCATGGACTTCCGAAAGAACCTATGATCCATTTTGGAAGAAGTGCAGCCAGAGAGCTCCTTAGAGGCCAAGATGGCCAAACTTCGTCTCTCATACTTGGGACATATTGTTAGGAGGGACCAGTCGCTGGAGAAGGATATCATGTTTGGTAAGGTGGAGGGTCACAGAAAAAGAGGAAGACCCCAGTGAGATGGATTGGCCAAGTGACAGCATCAATGGGCTCAAGCTTGGCAATGAAGGTGAGGTTGGCCCAGGATCGGGCAGTGTTTCATTCTGCTGTGAGTTTCATTCAGCACCGACTCGATGGCCCCTAACAACAACAATGACATGAGGGACAAAGTCTGGTAGTGAAAAGAGTGCATTCCCACAGACTTTGTGTTTAATCACAACTTTGTTACTCAGTAAGTCTGTGGCAACTGGTAAAGTACAAAACCAACTTTTTTCCTCTTTATGAATTGAAAATAATTCCTATCTTAAATGTGCATGGTAAAGATTAAGCAAAGTAACATTAAAGCATCAATGAGCTTATAGAAATTCTAAACAACAACAACAAGAAAAAAACCAAAAACCCACATTTTCCTTTCCATCCTTTCTGCATCTTTCTGTGATGGTGGTGGTATATGTCGTGGAGTCAGTTCTGACTAATAGCAACCCAGTATGGGGCTTCTGAGCCTGTAAAACTTTACAGGAGCATAAAGCTTCATCTGTCTCCCATGGAACCACTGGTAGTTCACACTGCTGACCATGAAATTAGCAGCCCAACTTGTAACCACTACGCTACCAGAATTCTTTGCATGTTTCTGTAGTAGGTGTTATAGGTTTTGTTTGTTTGTTTGCTTGCTTGCTTTGAGATTATTGTCGCTTATAGAACAATATAGGACAGAGTACAAAAATACCAATGATAAGACAATACATTATGCAACCTTCAATTAACAAGGTTCATATTAAGTATAATTTATGAATGGGGAACCTCTTTTAGGTCATAAATTCAGGTACTTGTTTTTTTAGTACCCTCTATTAAGCATTAGGGGAGAGATGGTGCTGTGAGTCTCAGTGCCATGTAGGAAGCAAAAGCAAATACCCTCCCAGGGTGCCACTTTGCTAAAAGCCTGCCATATGTCCACAACTCATTGAAGCATTAACAACACATCTCATTTTATATTCCCGCTTGACAAGCATAACTTAAAGCAAGGATGAGCCTGCTCTAAGTGTGCTTGTCTAATTCCCATTACTGCTAATTACATGCACGCAGCAGGACCACATCTCTGCAGAATGAGGCTTCCTTTTCAAGAGAGAGATTATGAAAGTCAGTAAACTTCCAAAGTGGTGAATGATTTCTTATATTTATTAGCACTTTATATACCTGTGGATATTTTATTTATAGTCTTAACTGTTACTTAGTTGTGGCCACGTAGCCCATAGAAGCTTTCAAAAAATAAAAGCCATTTTTAATCTATTGCCTGGAAAAATCTAGCAGCAATTCATCTTCATAAAGAACCCTTGCGATGCTATTTTCTAAATTACAGAGTACAAAAATTATCTCAAGGATAAGATGCACCAGTGAAAGAATGAAATACATAAAAATAAAAGCCTCCCTAGTAGAAAGGTTGTTTTCATCATTATAGTGATTGACCTAAGCCTCTTTCTGAGCAGGAAGTAACTCACTGAAGGCTCATGACCCTGGAGGTGGTAGCCCGGGTTCTAACAACTTCAAGCAAGATCCTAATTCTGACTGTGAGCTGAAGAAGTGGGAGCTGCAGAAGGTAGAGCAGTCCTTGCTGTTTCCAGGGTCCCCAGTTAGAACAGGACTGCCATGCACCCTAGCTCTCCAAGAGCCCTCATAGAGCCAGGTGTCCTGCTGACACATCATCACTGGTCCTTGCTTCTTCTGACTTATTTTCTGGGGTTCAGGTTCAGGTGGCCAGCTACCTTGGGATAACATGTTCCTTGTATTCTATTACCTGTTTAGAGTTCAACATGCTTTCAGGACATTGTTCTCTGTTAGATTTCTGGGGCTTTGTACAGAGTATCACCATTCATCCATCAATTTCCTGTACTATGGTGGCTTGCGTGTTGCTAAGATGCTGGAAACTTTCCCACGACAACAAGGTCATCCATGATGGACATGTTTAAGCTGAGCAACAAACTAAGACAGATGAGGAAGAAGAAGAGACAGACTACTTCTGAATATTTGGTCACAGAAACCTTATGAATAGCTTTGGAACACTCTCAGCACAAAAATACTGAATATTGAAACATGATGAACAGCACCAGAATACTGTCAGATATAGTGCCATAAGATAAGACCCTCAGGTTGGAAGGCACTCAGAATATGACTGGGGAAGAGCTGCCTCCTCAAAGAGTTGAATGTGATGATGTGAACAGAGTAAAGCTTCCAGTACCTTCATTTTCTGATAGGGCCTAACTCAAAATGAGGAAAAACTGCTGTAAGATCAATTAATGATGGAAGATGGAAAGTACAAAGTAAGAATATAGGAAAATTAGAAGTTGTCAAAAGGTGAAGATTGATATACTAGGCATTAATGAGCTAAAATGGACTGGTATTGGCCATTTAAAATCTGACACTCATATAGTTTATTATGCCAAGAATGACAAATTACAGAGGAACAGCATAACATTCATTATCAAAAAGAACACTTCAAGATTTATCTCCAAGTAGCATGCTGTCTGTAATAGGATAATATCCATACACCCACAAGGAAGATGAATAAATAACATTTTTATTCAAATTTACCCACCAACCACTGAAATCATGATGATGAAATTGAAGAATTTACCAAATTCTTCAGTCTGATAATGATCAAACATGCAATCAAGATATATTGATAAGTAATGGTGATTGAAATGCAAAGATTAGAAACGCCGAGGAAAGATCAGCAGTAGAAAATATGGCTTTGGCAGTAGATGTTGGAGATCACATGATAGACTTTTGCAAGACAATGATTTATTATTGCAAATACCTGTTTAAAACAACATAAAGTATGGCCATGCATATGGACCTCACCAGATGTAATACATAGAAATCAAATTCACTTCATTTGTGGGAAGAGATGCTGGAAAACCTCCCTATCATCAGCCAAAACAAAATCAGGGGCAGACTGCACAACAGATCATCAATTGCTTATATGCAAGTTCAGGCTGAAGCTGAAGAAAATAAAAGTTTGTGAGAGTCAAAATATGATTCTGAACATGTCCCACCTGTATTTAAAGCTCATCTCAAGAACAAATTTGATGCATTAGACACTAATGACCAAAGACCAGAAGAGTTGTGAGATGACACCAAGAACATTATACAGGAAGAAAGAAAAGGTCATTAAAAAGACAAGAAATAAGAAAGAAAAAAAACAAAGTGGATGTCAGAAGAGACTCTAAAAATTGTTCTCTATCCTATAGATGCTAAATGAAATAGAAAAAATGAGGAGGTATAAGTGCAAAGACCTAGAGTTAGAAAACCAAAAAGGAAGAATACATAGCATTTCTCAAGCTGAAAGAAGTGAAGAAAATATTCAAGACTTGATTTACAATACTGAAGGATTCTATGGACAAAATAGAGTTCTGATGTGGTGCTGTGGGTTAATGCGTTGGACTGCAAAATAGTTTGAATTGCAAGGTCGTCAGTTCAAGCTCCCCAACCACTCTATACAGGGTCAGAACCTACTCAATAGCACTTATCAACAACAACATGGGCAAAATACTGAGTGATGCAGAAAGCATCAAAATAAAATAGGAGGAATATACAGTCATTGTATCGAAAAGAAATGGATGGTTTTCAACCATTTCAACAGACCACATATAATCTAGAGCCAATGGTGCTGAAGAAATCCAAGGTGCACTAAAGGCATTGGCAAAGAACAAGTTTCCAGGAATTGATGGAATACAAATTGAAATATTTTAACAAACTAATGCAGCACTGGAGGTACTCAATCATTATTCCACTATATTTGGAAGATAACTACCTGGCCTACTGATTGGAAGAGATCCATAGCTGTGCCTATTACAAACAGAGGTGACCCAGTGGAATGCAGAAATCATCTAAAAATATCATTAATATTACATGCAAGTACAATTTTGCTAAAAGTAATGAACAAATGGCTGTAACACTGCATTGACCCAAAGGTGCCAGAGATCCAAGCAGAATCCAGATAAGGACATAGAATTAAGTATATCATTGTTAACATAAGATGTCTTGGCTGAAAGCAAAGAATACCAGAAAGATGTTTACCTTTGCTTTATTAAAACTATGCAAATGTTTTCAATTGTATAGATCTCAACAAGCTATGGATAACATTGAGTAGAATGGGTATTCCAGAACACTAAATTGAGCTCTGATAACATAGTGGTATCAAGTCAGGCTACTAACCTCAAAGTCGGCAGTTCGAAACTATCAGTCATTCCATGGAAGAAAGATGAGGTCTTTCTACTCCTATAAAGATTTACAGCCTCAGAAATCCTATACAGAGCAATTATGAGTTGGAATTGACTCCATGGCACACCACCAAACTGTGCTCATAAGGAATCTTTACATAGACCAAGAGGTAAATGCTTCAACAAAACAAGTAAAGACCGAATGGTTTAAAATCAGGAAAGGTGTGTGACAGGGTTGTATTCTTTCACCATGTTTATTCAAATTGTATGCTGAGCAAATAATTCAAGAAATTGGATTATATGAAGAAGAATGTGGTATCAGGATTGGAAGGAAATTCATTCAACCTGTGATATGCAGATGATACTACCTTGCTTGCTGAAAACAAAGAGGACTTAAAATACTGATGAACATCAAAGACTGCAGTCTTCGGTATAGGTTGCACTTCACTGTAAAGAAAATAAAAATCCTCACCACTGGAACAATAAATAACATCCATATAAATAAAGAAAAGATTAAAATTGTCAAAGAATTTGTTTTGCTTAGCTTCACTATCAACACTCACAGAAGCAGCAGTCAAGAAATCAAATTATGTATTACATTAGGTAAATCTAGTGCATACGACCTCTTTAAAGTGTTCAAGAGCAAAGATGTCAGTATGAGGACTAAGGTGCATCTGACTCAAGCCATGGTATTTTTTAATCTCATATGCATATAGAAATTGGACAGTGAATAAGATCATAAAAAATTTGTTTCATTTGAGTTATGGTGTTGTAGGAGAATATCAAAACTATCATGTACTTACCTATTTGACCTTGCCTCAATGACTTGATAATCAGAACTTGACTAGAGGAGATCAAAAATAAAAATAATAACAATTTTTTATAAAGGAAACGAGGGTAAATTGCAACAATCTAATGAACTTGACCTATACTCATAGAGGTAGTAACTCTAAATACCAACAGAGAAGGAAGGAGTCTTTACATCAAGTATCAATGTTATCCCCTCTGTACACAGGGTAGCTAGGGACAGGCAACTTAGACATCAGCTATCTAAAATGAGGGGGTGATAAAGGTTCAAAGTGACTGGCTTACAAGGTTACAAGAGGGAGTTTAGTTTAAGAGTGTGTGGGGGAAGAAAGAGTCCCCACAGAATAGTTTTCATCTTGACTAAATAGGCCTGGTTAAAAGAGATGGGGATAAGATTCTTATGATTCAATAGTGACTAATAGTTATCATGACTAATTGTGACTGTTACAATTGTAAAGGTAGAAATTTTGTAACAAAAATGGGGGAGTAGTTAATTTTACAGTCCAGAAACAAAGGACTTTAAGACCATCAAAGGAGAAGAGCACAAGCGGAATGCAGGACCTTATTCAGAGAAGCAGGAATACCAGAGATGGAGGCAGAGATGGGGACATGGAGAGAGGGAGCAGCTGAGGACTCTAGATTCATGGGAAGAGAAGGACTAAGAGATGGTGGACAGGAGGCAGACTTACAGAAGGTGCCCTTTGGTGGTGTGAATTATTATATATGCATGAGTGTTTTTAAAAATTTTTGTGTTTTTTAAAAAAAGCTACAGTGAATAGAGAGAAATACTGTTATCTGATGGTACACGTAAGGGATTATAATCATTGTAATGAAACAATGTGTATGATTTGTTGAATGTAAAACTGATGATCTGCCCTGTAAACTTTCACTCAATTCACAATAAAAACGTTAAAACAAACAAACAAACACTACTGTGTACTTCCAGAAGAACAAGCACATCTGTGTTGGGAGAAGTTGAACTAGAATACTCCATAAAAGCCAGAATGGTCCAACTTTGTCTCTCATACTTCAGACATTTTCTCAAGAAGCACCAGTCCCTGGAGAAGGACATCATGCTGGTAAAGAGGTGGTGGTCATGGTGATTATGTGTCATGGAGATGGATCTGCCTCATAGCAACCTTTTATGATGTTTCTGAAACTGTGAATCGGAACAGGAGCAAAATGCCTCATCTTTCTTCCAGAGTGGCTGGTAATTTTGAAATGTGGACCTCTCAGTTTACAGCTTCCAAACGCACTACTACCAGATGATCAGCAAAAAAGAAGACCCCAAACGAGATGGATTGGCACAGTGGCAGCAACAATGATCTCAAGCGTAACAACAATTGTGACTATGGTGCAGGATTGTGCAGTGTTTCCTTCTGTTGTGCATAGGATCTGTATGAGTCAGAACCTGCTTGAAGGCATTTAACAGCAACAACATACAGACAGAATAGTTCTAAGCCTGCAGGTATAGCCTAGGTACCCTTACTTATAAAAAGAAAGGTATTAGGTGTTTTGTGATTTAACTTGAGACTCTTCAACCACTTACCAACAGCCTCTGCTATTGGTTCTTTCTCTCAATGCCCTAAAATTGAGACAAAAACAATCTAGCTCCAGAAAATTTGGCGGCTCCGAGTGTCCTGCCCAGAATCCTGATTTGGTAAAACATGGAGTAGATCCTGTATTTACATTAATAATCCAGTAATTATACCATTTGTTCAGTTCCCAGATTATTGTTCAATTCCCAGATTAGCTAAAGGCTTTGATTGTCAGCACTGATGTGATCCAAGGGTTTTTAAAAAGGCAAGTTTGTTACCAACATTGGAGCAGAAACTGAAATAAAATCAAACAGCCCTTTAAAAATGTGGGTTTGCCCCCTTACTTTGGTAGATTCAGGTCTCGGGAATATCACAAAGTTGCTCTCTGCAGGCCACGCTGTATCAAACTCTGAATATACAGCTCTTTGCTAATGCCAGAGGTGAAACCCCATCTAAAGATCAAATTCACATCACAGCTTTGAAAGCATTAGAATGAGACACTCATAGGGCAACTACACCAAGATGACACAGGGAAGGAATGAAAGAATCCAGAATCTCTGAAGAATGAAGAAGAGCTTTGTACCTGTAGCTGCAGTACTCAGTCATCAGAGAGCTTAGCTGAAGTACTCCATCAGTAATCAGGAGGGTACTGAGAAAACTGACAATGATGGATTGCCAAGTGATGATAAACTAGAGGAGTTGAAGACAGGGGAGTCAAGTGACCAGAACTTCAATAGCAAAGTAGTGTCAAGGGGGCAGGAATTCTTCAATAGCAATGGGAACTTCCTCTATTGAATTTGAGGTCTACCTTTCAGAAATGTCTGTGAAACAGCTGGGCATGTGTATTTAGAGCCACCTGGATTTTTGCATATATATTAGCCACTTTAGAATAGGAAGAAATGATGGACCTGGAATATGACAAAGGAAGAACTGCTTGGATTTGAATCTGACAAAAGACAACGAACTCCAGGACCAATGTATATAGAGACAGGGTGACTATCTGGCTGGATAGATTCAAGTTTTGGGGGAACACTGCTTCAGGTCTAACCCCTGTGGCTCTTCACTACTCACCTTCCTTGCTCTGGTTCTCTGTATGTTGAAAACCAACTTGTGTTGCATGTCCTATGAGTTTATTGCAATAAATATTTGGGAGGAAATGAAAAGTTTGCCTTTTGATCTCATTTCCTTCTTAATTAAGTGGTTATGAATCAGGTTGCTAATCTCACGGTCAGCAGTTTGAATCGACCAGCTGTTCCACGGGAGAAAGATCAGGCTTTCTGCTCCTGTAAAGATTTACAGCCTCAGAAACCCTGTGCAAGGTCGCTATGAGTTGGAACCGACTCCACGGCGCATAACAACAACAACAGCAGTTCACGTGGCATAGAGGGTTATGCTTTGGGCTGTTAACCACAAGGTCAGCAGTTTGAATCCAGCAACTGCTTCTCACAAGAAATATGAGGGTTTATGCGCCTGTAAAGGTTTAGAACCTCGGAAACTCTATACAGGGTCACTAAGAGTTGGAATCAACTTGACAAGATGCAACAATAATAGCAATCAGTTCTGGAACTGCTCAGTCAATTAGCTGCTTTTTTAAGTGCAGAATAAAGTAAAATGTAACAACAACAACAAAACAAAAAAACAACGTCCCTATATCTTCCTGCTTTCATTCTACTAAATAGACCATGACATTTTAAAAAGAAGATAAAGTTTAAATAATTTATTCAAATGATTTTTATCTTTCTGTTTATACAAGAAAGTACACAGGAAATATTTTGACCATTAATAACACAATACGTGTACAGCTCATTATAGAATATACTATACAAACACATTTCTTTTTGCAGTTTCCCCAGAGTATTTACAATACAAACAAAAGTTAAAATCTAACATTTTTTTCCCCATTATTTCAACGTGGCTAGCTTATTTTTAAAGTGTTTGAAAATATGGGACATAACTGAGAAAGGACATTTTGATAAGATATGTAAACATAATATTGTCAAAGCTGAGCAGAGATTCACACCATCTATTTAACAGGCTAAATCATGTATATGTTTTCATCAACATCTTGCCACATTTACAGAGAAGCTCAATAGGAAAATACAGTCTCCTTCCTTACGACAATGTGGATAGCAAAATAATCCAATGTGTATGACTTTGATACATAAAATTTATACTTATCTTTTATATTCAGAGTTGACTGAATACACATTTTATTCTTATCAGAGTCCCAGTTCAATTCTAAGCCCCTGACACTGCTTAATGCCTTTTGCAAACGCTTTTCAAAGATTTCCAGTTTGTGGAAATTCTCCTTGAGGTTTCCAATTTTGAGCCTCTCCATTTTTAACTTTATTATTGATGGTGCTTGAAATGTTTTCATGGAAGGAAAATTCTACGTCTGTTCAATTTTTTCCTTGAAGTATATTTTCAATAAAGGTATTTCTCAATCAAATAAAGCATAACAATTACCCTCAGTTCACAGAAAAAGTAAATAAGTGCTGGCGAGAGAACAGCAAAGGCAGAGGATCAAATTCATGTACAGAACATATGAGACATCTTATCTTTTTAAACTTATCCTGTTCTCTTCAAATTATAACTGTTTTCATCTGTGCTATCTTCGAAGTAGAAAAATAACAAAGACAAAACTAGTTAAGATAGATAGATCTTTCTACTTGTGTCAAAGCATAACATGATAATATGGACCTCTCAATTCAAAAGCAGATCTATTATGAATAAAATCCTAACCCCAAACTTCAGTTGTATCAGTTGTACTTTTACTGAGCAGGAGATAGAGAGGAAAAAAGGTTCAGAAGATGAACTCCTACGGACCAATGACAACAAATCTGTTTATTTTCCTGAAACCCCTCACCACATGAGCTCCAGAAGCTATATCAGGCCAAATCTAGGACGATTCGTTTTTCTAGAGAATGGAGATAGGTGTTCCAGAATGGAGAAAATACCCACTTCTCTTCTACTTTATTCAATTGACTTTGCATTTCCCAAACATTGAGATCAAGTGCATTCAGGACCAGCTTTTAGACTCGGTCTAGAACACTCCCCAGAAAAAAATATATCTGCATCCAGTAACTGGGAATCAGCTGTCTGAATACTTTCCACAGTTAAGATAACATGTGAGTGCTGATTAAATGAACATGTTGACTCTTCCTACAGTGACAAGAAAGCAGAATCAGTCTTACAGGAATGGACTAAGGACAAATAAAAACCAACAATGAACTAGCAAGACAGTTTTCATAAACTCTGTAAGAGCTGGTTATCCTAGGAAGAATGGGGCTAGTTGATACTTTTTTATTTTTAAATGGAATAAATAAACACTCAAAAAGTGATTGGGATTACAAATCAAGATTCTGGAAAGATAAGAAACAAGCCATTATACATGTGTGTGAATATTAAAAAGACGACTAAGTAATCTGGTTTCAGCCTGAACCTTTGACTTACACAATAGAACAGGTTCCCAAGTCCTTCCCATGAGCTTCTAGAAAAATAGCAAATGCTATAATATAAAGTCTTTTGCTAGACAGATATTTCTTCGCCATCATTCCAATAGCTCCTAAATAATAACAGTTCTGAGTAATAAAAAAAGAAAGTGAAAAAGCAATAAAAACAATGTTTTTCCTAGATAAAAATTATAATTCATTGAAATAAATATAATTGCAGAAAAACCTGAATTTTTCCTTACATTTGTATTAAATGATATTTATCACAGAAATGTCTCTTTTATACCTTCTAATGCAACATGTATTAAAAGGCATAATAGATAAATGTGTGTGATAAATTTCATCTAATGTAAGTGTAAGGAAAAAATTAATGGTTTCACACAAAGGTGTTTATTTCAATGGATTATAAATAATTATTCTATTATTAGATATTATAATTTTTTTTGTTGCTAAGTAAAATCGAGTCAGTTTCAACTCACAGTGAGCCTGTATAGGGTTTCCAAGGAGAGGTTAGTGAGGTTTGAACCGCCGACCTTGAGTTTCAAACTGACCTTATCCTAACTGCGTATCCTATAGCACTATACCAGCACTGTAGATATTATAAAAGAAGGTATAATAGATAAATTTATGGACACATTTAAGTGTTATCTACCACCCATATGTTAGTTTGCTGAGATGCTGGAAGCTATGCCACCAGTATTTTTAATACAAATAGGGAGTCCTGGTGTGTC